TATATATATATATATATATATATAATTTACCATAAAAACTGTCATAGTTATTTAATAATCAGAACTACTAGAATAAAAATTTATTTTTAGAACTTGCTCAGAAAGCCAGAAGTGTTGAAGAAATTGAAGCTGATTTGAAGCAGTTAGTCTTGGGTGGTAAAGATAAAGAACAGGAGAAAATAAGTCCTCTGAATAAATTGGCAAGTTTTAGTTTTTACATCAGTAGAGTAATTAAAAAATAGCAAGTTTATATAAGTAAATTACATGGCTGTACGGTATTTGTAAAAATAAAAACCAAGCCAGTGTGGAGGTAAGAAATATATTTGTGAACTAGGGTTGAGTAAACTTCTTTTAACAACTAAATGTAGTTAATATTCAGGTAACCAATAATAAACTGTTAGGAACCCATCTAGCAATTAAGAAAATGTTGCTAAATCACAATACTGTGTAAGGAAATTTTAGAAGGGACAAAAGAAATTGAAATATTTTATTATCAGCTGGTATATTTAGTACTGGGAGATTAACTTGATTACATTGATTACTGTCATGTAAAATAGTCAATTAATCAGAATTGTAATTAAGTATATTAATATCACAAAAATAATCAACTGATTTAAGTTAGTGTTTAGGATTATTACTTTTTAAATTATTCCAACTGTCCATTAATCAAAATTGTGTTTAAATTGAGTAATGCCGGATAAATAATCAACTTGTTCAAATTAGAGTGTTTCTGATTATTACAGTATTCAGTTATAAAAACTATTCAATAATCAATTAATTGAAATTAGAGTTTCCATTATTACTATTTTTGATCATTCCAATTTTCCATGTAATTGATATATTGCCATTATCTTTGTTTTTTGTCAAGCACGAAGCTACACAGTGAACTATTTTTACTTTTTTAAACCTTGGTATCTAAATCAAACGTGTAACGTTATAAGTTTTTTTTAGCCAGCTCTTGGGAATAATCGATAAGTTAAATGTAATCAGTTAATTATTCCAATGATTAATTAGTTAAGTTTTACTAATTGTCCAGCTTTAATATTTAGTTATGTATATAATATATACCTAGCATTCGAAGTAGCACCAACTTGTATGATGTTACTCTTGTACTACACAATTAGTTATAATAATGATTTAGTTTTGTTTATGATTTCAACTTAAGAAGTTAATGAAAACTGTTAAAATATGCAATGTTGTCATCATCCTTTATTCTTTATGACTAAATAATGCAACTTTCTTATAATATCCCATTCAGTTTTATGGATTTGTTTATTGATCTTTGTTTCTACTTATATTTTGAAACAATGTTGAGTTACATAATTTTGAGGAAATATTTTGTGCTGAAAATAAAACTACAAATGCACATTTTTCAAGTATAGCATTTTTATCATTTGTTTTAAGACTTGTTTTTATATTAAATCATGTGAATTTTACATCCAGTTAACACATCTTAGGACAGATGGGAATTCTCCTCTACCGATCAGTCTGGGACCTTTAGACCAGTCCATGGTTTTGCAGGAAGCAGACATAGTGGGTGCATTGAAGAGTGAACCAGGAAAAACGTCTTTCCAACCACGTACAAATCCGTCTCTGACCCAAAAGTTACCATGTGGTAAGATGTAATGATGTGAATGTTAATATAAGTATATATGAAAGAAAAATATTTAAAAACATGTAAACCATACAGATACATGATTCAAAAACAAGATTTGGTAATTAGTGATAATTGGCTTTCATTTCTTTTATGTTTTACTTTCCATATGTATACAGAAAATTGTTACAATGTGGGTTGAGTAGCATTATTTCTTCACTTCTCCTTATTGTGCTACTTACTTCAGAGATGAAAAATGTTCTAACAGATGTGAGTTGCCAGAAGCAACCAAAATTTGTCTTGGTAATCATATATTAATTTGTATTCGTTTTCAGTGACTATGGGAGTGAGTGTGTCAAATACAAAATAGAAAACATGGTTTCTTTGTGTAAAAATACTATGCTTGTGCACAATATGTGTGTGACAAGAGACTATTGTTGCATTCTGTGTCAGTATGTATTATATACTCATAAATTGTTTTACCCCTTTTAAAACCTAGTAGATGCATCATACATTGTCGCTTCTTCATTACCAAGTAGCCATGTAAACATTATGAGCCTCCACAACAAAGAGTATGTAAGTCATGTGACTGAGTTGGCAAGAGACACAGGACAAAAACTTCATGCCAACAAAAAAAGACATGATTTTTTTAAAAAAGGGATCATGAAATGACACATAGAAAAGGAACAACCAAATCAAATGCTAAATTTAAAAAACAATTTACTAGTAGAGTTAAGATAGTTCCACAAATCCACAATCATTGATTTCAAACACATAGCTGGCTCAAGAAAGTGGAACAGTCTGACAGCATTGTTCTACTGACTGCTGTGTGCATATCCACAGGTAAAAAGATAGCAATAAATCTTATATGTTTATCATATGTGCAATTGCCAGCTGAACTAACAGTTATAAAAATTACTACAGAATTACAGCTTGTTTTTGAAACTATAGAACTATAATATTTTTAATTGGCTACCAAATTACAAAATTTAGGAGTCAGATGCCCCTAACTATTTTGTCTAACTTTGAGCCCTGATTGTATGTGTATGTAAAATTTAATAATTCTTCATCAACATGTGTCATCCCTGATCCAGTGGTCAACAGTCATCGATCTCCATCTCTTTGTTTTTTGTAACATGCAGCACTTACTCAGCCCTTGTGAGCAAAAACTGCTCTCATTAATTTCCAGATAGTCTTTTCTTCGTCCTTGTTTTTGATATCTTGCTCCAGGTCTTATCAGCAATGCACAGATTTATCAAGTCCTTTTGTCTTATATCTTAACTGTTTTGCCTTCATTATTGCTGTAACTTTATTTGCCATTCTCTCAATCCAGTTTTCTCCTTAGAATCCATTTTTATGCACTAGCTAGTGTTTGTTCCATCACTTTGCTAATTGTTCATGTTTCCCAGCCATACAACAACATTGACCAAACATAACGTTTTACCATTCTTGTATACTTCAATTATTATTTTTGTTGGTGTTTCACATTCATGAACACAATCTTTGTCACAGCGATCTTTGTTTTATCTCCAACTTCCATCTTCTGTGTTTGGTTATTACACTTCAAAGGTATGAGAACCTTTTCACTTGTTTGATCTATCTTAGTTACACCTGTGACTTGCTCACACCATAGTTTTTGTTTTCTCAATGATTATGGTCAAATAATATTTTTAACTTTCTAGTTTGTCAATCCGTTTCTGCAGCTACATGTTGTTAATTTCTTTCACATTGTTAAATATCTACTGTGAATGAGAGGCTAACCAATCATAATCCTGGTATACAAGTACATATGTGTAACTTGATAACTGACTTGGAAATTAAAGTGCCTAATTATTTAATTTAGTATTTATAGCACTTTCTAATATACATCATTTTTTGCTGGGATTAGAATTGTTATATTTTAATGCAAAGTTTTATTGATACTAGATGAAACAGCTGTGTCTGAGCAAAATGATTCAGACTGCCCACTCAGAACTACACAATATGTTTCCTAGATAAACAGAAAAGACATGAAGTGTTCAAAAGTTAGTTTACCATGTGGTTGATTTGACTTTGTTGCATATGAAGGACTGTGATAACCTGTCCAAAGGTTTTAAGTTTTTGTTTATATATTCTGAATTAAATCATTATATTCAATACATCAGGAATACCAGTGTATCAAATGTAAACTGGTTAACTTGTTCCAAGATTTTACACCTGCATCACATATTTTAGGTATAAGAACTTAACCCTTTCACTCTAGGTATCCTTTACTGTGCAAGACACAAGGTTTTAGTGTCTTACATTCAAAATTTTATTAAACCACTTTTGATTTATGTTATACCAATTAGAATAGCATAAAATCTTGGGTAATAATCCATATTTTAATAGTATACAAGTTTTAAGTTCTTAATTCTACAAGGCAATATTTTAAAAAATCCTGATTTTTCCACTAGTGTGACCCACGTGACACATTTTTCTCTCAGCATGTCATCATCCCTATTTTATCCACACACAATCCTTGAAAAAGTACAAAATTAAATGAAAATTACTCTCTATAATTTTTATAGTATTCAATTTTGTTTGGTTACACGCCCACCTGTCACATCCTCTCTTTCAAAATTCGTTGATAGTTCTCTTTTATATTTCATATATTACTTTTAACCAATAGAAAGTCAAGGTTTTTCATCTGTTAAATGATGTATTGTATAACCTTGTATTCTGAACAGAATATTGTCAATTTCACTCGCAGTACAAGATTCGTTCCCATTGGAAAGTTAATGACTAGCTTGGATGAACTTGTAACAGTTCTTGTTGCACAGTTAGAAAGCCAGAAAAATTTTGAGAGTTAAGGGAATTTGTCTACTTTTTTGCATGTTATTGGTCTATATTCTTTGGTGCATTATTTAATTAAATAAAAACTATTAGGTGCATTACCATAATTACTATTAAAACTCAGGCTTAACTGTCCTCGGCAGTCAAGGGCAAGAAAAAATAAATATTGAGTAAATACTTTATTTCTTGTTTTTCAGATTTATTCTTTATTTATTATTATATAATAAGCTAAAATCTAAAAATACAGATCTAAGTTATTTAATACTAGATTAAGGAAAATAAATAATAATACAGTTAAAATGGTTCACGAGGCATGCATGCGAGCAGCTCGTGGGTAGTGTGATCTGATAGCATAATGTCAGCTGCACGTTCTCCCGAGTGATTTACAACTTATAATGGCACGGACAGAAGTTAGACATGGTTCAAAGGGCAATAAAATTTAATTATAGATAGATGTATACTGTAACGAACTTAGAGCTACTTAGGATAAACCAATATAGTTTCATGTTACAATTTGAAGTCATTCTAGAAAGAGAAAAAGGGTAATTTAGATTTATTTCGATTTGTGGTGGGGGGGGGGGGATTACAAGGTCAATCGAATTAACCAATCCTGTTTTGAGATAAGGTAGAGAAAATAACAAACTATAAAGTTTTAATGAAAAAAACGTTTGAAATGCATTTAGGAGGTTTTAGGGATTACACTAAGGAAATTTGAGATTTGTGAGATGATGAAAAGTATTTTTAATTTTAACATGAAAATTACTTTGCACACGTACTATTCAAAACAAATATTCAATATATTAATGAACAAATCTTTATTTTATTTTATTTAAAATACTTCACTAAAATGTGTGATTTTTTGTGTGTGAAAGACTTATAATACTAACTGAAAGACTGTCAAATTTTATGAAGATATATATATATATATATATATATTAAGAGTTATAAGTATTAAATCTATAAAAACTTTAAACGAGTACAAAAAGGTCACATGTTCGATCAAATTGACCCAGTCCGTATTAAGAGAGTTAATGGACTACAATTGCCTGGTGAATGAAAATGGAATGATGTTTTTGCTTCTATACTCTGAATTTTTCAGATTCTGAAAACTACTATGTCTACTCTGCCTAAAGTTTCAATGAAACAACATCATGTGTGTTTTAGTGAATTGTACTGTTTTAAGTTGTACAGTAGTCATTGCAATAAATATAGACATTTATGTAATCATTATTAGTGAGAAAAAATAATTGGGATCATAAAATTTCATTTTGATTTTGTACATTTTTCTTGCCTATTAGTGTGGAATGGAACATCAAAACAAATTTATGTCTCTGTTGCCTGTTTTTTAATCTCTTTAGGAAATAATATGTATGACATTTTAAACAAAACTTGGATACATTTTAGAGTTTGCATGATGTACCAGTAGATATTTCAAAGAAACTGTTGAATCAGGGAAAATATAAAATTGATCATTACAAGTACAAACATAACAGAGATAGATAAATTTCTCTGAAACAGTAGAGAAAACTATATGTTCAACATTTTATTAGCTTCTCAACTGATATCTTAAATCATTTAACTATAGTTAGGTATTTTGCCTACTATTTGAAAAATAATGCATTGTTGTTCTTGCAGTAGCTAGATCATTTCAAGATACCCAACAAGTTGATCGATCTCTGCATCTTCCGAACCAAATGACATTAAACGTACTTAATGTTAGAGAAGATGAAACACTTTACAAGCCTGCAGAACAAGATTTGTTTGGAAATACAGTGTCCTCTACAGAATCCAATATAAATAACAAGCACCATGCTCTTCAAGGTTGGTTTTAATAACTAGAAAATGGCAGAAAAATCTTCTCTCTCTTAAATATATGTTATAATCCCTGTTTCACCCAAAAAAGGTGATAGGTTTTGATTTAAGTTGATGTGTTTAGTTTTGTGGTTTGAGACAAGAACAAATTAAATTATGTGCTAATTTGAAGAGAACAATTCAAATATGTACATAAATTAGATCTTTTGATGGAGAAAAAAGTTTCAGAATAAGTTTGTGATAAAAGTATTCCTTTATACTTTGAAAGTTTAAACATTATAAAAATTTGCAAACAATGACCTAGTTTAGCAGCATTTAGTGACTAATTTTCTTATAAGATGCAATTTATAATTTTGAATTTAATAAAGTTTAGTTTTTTTAGTTGTTGTTGTTCAGTGAATTGTAGTGGTAACTAAAGTTTATTGAAACAACATAAGTTGGTAATGGGTACATATTATTGATGGAGCAAAAATTTAATCCGAAGCAACAAAAATACAAAAAAATATTGTAATAATGAAAAAAAGTAAAAGTAGTCTGACATAGTTTGAAATTTTATTTTGTTATTAATGGAAATAATTTAAAATTATACAAATGAAACAGAAAAATATGTTCATACATATATAGTGGCTTGCATAATGAGAAAATATTTGCAACGTGTGTTATTTCATAGATGTTGGTTATTTAACTGTAAATCAAATATTAAGAATTGATGTAAACTATTAAATGATATTAATGAACTACAACTGAAACTAATGTGCATTTCTATATTAATTTCCTAGGATAAATTAAAAGTTTCTTATGTATTTTGACAAATGTTAATCATTTCCATCCATTCTTAGTGATTTCACGTATAAAGCATCTTATCTGTTAAGTTTTGAACTGTAATTATATGTTTTATGTAAGTTTACAATTTATTATGAAATTTTAAAAAATTTTAAAACCTAACTGTACTATGCTTTTTATCAACATACCCTAAACCATTGACCTGAAATCGAGATTTCAAACATGCTTATTTGCAAAACACTCAGACTTTATGACATCATTTGTTACCCTCTTTGTTGAAAGATGTTTTGCAATGGAATGTTTTATATTTCTATAAAACATATATAAATGGATAGTATTTATCTCAGTATATCTTAAAGACCCTTGCTAATCTCTAAACTCATGCTAGTGTGAAGTCTACTGTAAGACACAATTAGTCTCAAATTACAAGCATCTGTTTTTGGAAGGAAAAAATTAACTTCTGAAACAAAAAATGCAGTGAGTTAAATTATATAGTTTTTATCCTTACCAACTTCAAAAATTCACTGTTTTCATCCTATGGACAGTTGAGTATGTCATATTAAATTTATTCCTTTTGGGAATGGTATGTAACAGCTCATTCTGATGCAAAATATTCATGCACTTAGGTTATTATTTTCTCTCTCTGTCAAAAAAACAAGAGATAATAAACTGGAGAGCGTTTAATTGTGTAATAATCCTAAACTTTCTAATTTCTTTTCTGACAGCACAAGACTCGGAAGACAGAGAGTTATTGTCAGTTTTATTGCCTTCTCTGTCGAGCTACAGTCATGACTCATCCTTAAAGCATTCTTTAGTCCTGAGCCAAAGACAATCTCCTCTTCCATCAGATGGTCATTGTCGAATCCCATCACCACTTGGTACATATCCATCTTCTGTTTTTCTAGTCTTTATAAGTTTGTATTTAATCGTAAAGATCTTTTAAGGTTTAGATTTATATATTCTGCTTCATCGTTATGGTTAGGAATATTGTTCAGCTACAAACATTATTTTTGACTGAATCATAATGAAAATCACCAAATACTTATTTTGTAATATTTTAGCATCCTGATTTATTATGTTATCCTATATGGCATATGATGTAACTTTTAATAAGAATTTTTAAGTTGTATTTTGCCAGTGTTTCATTTACAGTAACCTGCAATCTGAGATTTTTTATAATAACTTGAGGACTTTAATTTACTCACAAACCTGATTTCTAATTTTCTTTGTTTAAAAATTCAGTTGATGGTCTATTGTTATGCTTAAACATCATACTGCTGCTTTCTTTTCTATTTATATTCTGTATTCTAGTGACTTCTCTGTTAAAACTATCCATTAGTGTCATAATATACCTGCTTAACTTAGTTTGATTTTTCTTGATAAGAATTTTGAACTTAGGCCTGATGATTCCTACAGTATAGACTTTTTTCTAAGTGAAAAGGAAAAAAAAACAGTTACTGAGAAGTTTTAACTGTCAATTTAGTTTATAGTTGTATTAGTGAAAGGTTGTACTAAAATGTTGTAGCAATGTTGCACAACAATTCAGAGGAAGACATTTTTAATATCGGATTTTTGGTTCACATCTCATAATTTTTGCAGTTATAATTAGAAAATAGTTTATTCATTCAAAAAGAGACATGTTAGTGAGTTAGTAATGTCATCATGTGAATTCTTTCAACACGGGCTCAGTTGATTTGACCAACAACGTGACATCTTTTTACTCGATTAAAGTCTTTATAGATTTGATACTACTAACTTTTATTATAGTATGAAAAACTTCATAAATTTGACAGTCTTTAAGTATACATTATAAGTCTTTCACATACAAAAAGTAATATTTTTTAGTGAAGTATTTTAAATAAACTAAAAAAAGATTTGTCATGACTATATGATTATTATCGAGTATTTGTTTTGAATAATCTGTGTTCAAAGTGATTTCATGTTAAGATTAAAAGTATGTTTCTTCATCTCAGAAATCTCAAATTTCATTTGTGTAATCCCTAAAACCTCCTAAATGCATATCAAACATTTGTTTTCAGTAAAACTATATTTTATCTATTATTTTCTCTACCCTAACTCTATACGGATTCGGTAAATTTGATCAAACTTGAAACCACCAAAAAAAAATTTAAATGGATCTGAATTACCCTTTTTGAAATTTATTTAGGAGGTTTGACAATTTTCAGATGAATAAAAATATTTTTAATCTTAACATGAAAATCACTTCACAGTCTGAGCAATCAACACTTTTGACTCCATATGTTTAAGGAGAAATTTTACGTGAAAATACTTCAATAAAAATTAGTCTCCAAAAGACTTACTGTTTACTGAATGCTTGCAATATTTCTTGAAGATACACAAAATATATTAGAAGTCATAGTATTGAAATAATAATAGTTAATTCAGGGTCACAATCTTGGCTGATTCAACCAAACCCTTTGAGAGAATGTTAATTAAACTGACTTTGATACTATTAAAAATGTGAATTGTTTGCATACTTAGTATATTCTTCATACTGCAAATTTTCAAATTGCAAATTATATATTTCACTTATTATTTTCAATCACAGTTTAAGGAAGTAATTTCTGCTTAGACATCAACTTTGACAAGAAACATATCTAACTTTGTTTATAGGTAGGTAGTAAAGTTAAAACTGAATACTGTGCATATAATACCTTTTTTTCAAGACCTGTATCAACATAATGTTATCCAAAGGGGATGTCCATTAGAATATTGTACAAGTACTGTACCTGAACAACTTAATCTAGTTTCTAGCAACCCTTAATGTTTAGTCACAAACACTATTACAACATACTTAGTTTGTAAGTTATCTCTTAAACACAATGGCCACAGTGTAAGTTTGTAGGCTTATAATGCTAGAAACCTGGTTTCGATACCCATAGTGGGCACAGCCCAGATAGTCCATTGTGTAGCTTAGTGCTTAACTACAAACACTTAAACACAAATTGCTTTAGAAGTATGAATAAGCAAATTTTCTCTTATTTTACAGTAATCTTTACTTGCACTAATCATCTAGCTAGTGCTTATTTCATACTCTATGGCTTTCAAGTTTGCAGCTGTTCTTGGTTTAACCACATCCTTGGATTACTTGGATTTTCAGTTAAATGCATGCATGAATTTCTTGAGATTGTTTTCTGTGAGTGAAGTTTGTAAAATTCTCTTGGTCACCACAAACTAGCTCATGAATTATTTAAAACTTATTTCTTGAGTAAATGTGTCATTCTTGCATTGAACAAAAACACAAACTACTTGGAATATTTTGAATTAGGTTTAAGGGTTGTTTTTCTCTTTTTATCATAGGAATTATTGTTTGCTTTTGGATAATATTTGTAGAATTCTTTCTGGTTCATTATTCTTAGAACATATATATATGTCTTCCACAAGTGACTTGTGTGGTTTTGATTATGTGATTACAGCCCACTGCAAATAAACTCTTTTGGTACAACTTATTTTTTGGTCTTTTAGTATTTGGACAACAACCTCCTGTTCTTAGCTATGCTCCTGCTCCTATTCATCCTAATCAGTTCACCAGAAAACCTAATCCCCTTCAGATTGAGGTAAGAGTTGACAGAAGCTATTGATAATGGCAAAAACATCTGTTTGGTGTACTTATAGGGTTAGACTTTGAACATTATTACAGTTAACTTTTTTATAGAAAAAATATTAGAAATGAAACGCCAGATTATTTAGAAGTTACTTACTCTGCCGATATAAATCAAAGTAAGTCTTGAATCAATTTTTTTTTTTTTTTGTAAACTGTTGAATTAAGATGAGAATTGACAAGCAAAAGCTTTTTTTCTGTTTAAATTGTTCTTAACACGTTTGCTGCCATGTGCCCCACCAGTGTGTCACAGACAATTATACTTCAAAGCCAAATTTCTCTTGTGGCATATGAGTTTGGGACACTGACAACTCCTTGGCATCTCTTGAGTGTTTAATTTTTATTTATACTTAATTTATCATGCGGCAGCAAGTGTGTTAATGAAAGTTCTTGTACACTAATAATTTAAGTAGAAGGTAATATATAATTTAACTTTTATTAAGCCATGAACACTGTTCAGTGTTTTAATTTTTTTCACTGGTATATTGGTTATAGATTTGATCATTTAATAAAAATCATGGTCAAATATGATCATATCTCAAACAGGTGATGTTAATTCTTGCCACGAGCATACTTTTTTTTCTGCATATCACAAAATTTTAGTGCGTTGCATTTAAAATTTAATTACACTACATTCTTATCATGGTATACCAATAAATATAGCATAAAAACATTATATAAGTCTTAAGTTCTTAATTTTATAAGGCAATGTTTAAAAAAAATGTTGAATTTACTCTAATATGAGAATTGTGACATTTTCTCTCTAGGCACCTCCTCTTCTCTAATTTATTTACCACCCCTGTAAAAAGTATGAAATTTAACGTAAATTATTCATTATAATGTTGTCATCGCTCAGACAAAACATAATTTTCATAGCCTTCAATCTTATTTAGTTAGAGCCAACAAATAGAACATTAGACCCCTCTTGTCATTCCAATCTATCACATCCTCTCTTTCAGAAATTGCCAATAGTTCTCTCTGACATTCACTACTATATTATTTATAACCATTAGAAAGCCAAAGTTTTGATCTATCAAATGACATATTATATTACATTGTTTTCTGTATAGATAATTGTCAGTTTCATTTCCAGTTCAAGATTTATTCCCATGGAAACACATTGACAAACTTAGCTGAATTTGTAATAGTTATGGGACATATTTTGCTTTTTGCATGTTGTTATTCTGTGTTTTCGGAACATTATTTAATTAAATATATATAATTATTTATTGCAGTAGGCTCGGCATTGCCAGGTGGTTAGGGCGCTCGACTCGCAATCTGCGGGTCGCGGGTTCGAATCCCCATCACACCAAAAATACTCGCCCTTTTAGCCGTGTGGGGCATTATAATGTGACGGTCAATCCCACTATTCGTTGGTAAAAGAGTAGCCAGAGAGTTGGCGGTGGGTGGTGTTGACTAGCAGCCTTTCTTCTAGTCTATCACTACTAAATAGGAACGGCTATTGCAAATAGCCCTCGTGTAGCTTTGCGCAAAATTCAGAACAAATCAAACCAAACTTCTTATATTTTTCCTGTTTCTTTAGCAGATCGCCCTCATGTAGCTTTGTGCGAAATAATAATGACAACTTTTCCTTTTTTTTATTACTAGGTGCTGTTTCTAACTGGTTCTGCATAAAGTTCAAATCATTTCATAGTCATAGTGATGCAAGTGTCTGCCTGTTTTTTTTTGCTGTCCCCTGAGTTAGATTATAATAGAGTTCAGAGACATTATATTGTCCATCTTCACCATGTAACATAAAATTCCCCATGTTAATAGCAAAGGAAACAAACTTAATATCTCTTTTTTTTCAAGTATAATGGTGAATATTGCCAAGACTAACAAACCAAAATATGTGATTGAGTAATAGGTGTGATATAATATCATACCTATTTTCTAATATTGGAAAACAATTTTCAAGGTTTTTGAGCATAGTTAAGATCACAGACATATTCAACCTGTTTCATTAGTTCTTTGTAATCAAATTTAGTAAAGTGACATGCCTTAAGTCCTAATTGCTTATGAAAAGTGTGTTCTTACTCAATACAAAACTTCTTTATTTCAGAAGCTTTCCATATGATACATTATGCATAGAAGTCAACATAACCCCTTAGGTCAGGCTTAATATACCTGTCAAACTTTTTTTTTATTATTTGAGAGCAAACTTTAGTGAGGTATAAACCAAAACATTGTTTGAGCAGAAAAGTTTTATGATTAAAATCACATAGTGCTACCATAGGTTTTTAGCTGTTTGTTTATAAATTTGACAGTAGTATAGACAGTGGATCATAGGTGTGAATAAATACAAGGATGACAAAAGGAAATGTGTCTGCTACTAAAATTCATAATTTTACAGGCTGTGCAATCAATCTAAGGTAAAAGTCATTGTATTGCTTCTTTCATCCATAAATTGATCAGATTACAATATATATGGTAACACCCATTCTTGATTTTATAATATCACAGTTTTTTTTGTATCAAGAACTTTTATAATTAAGACCTTGCTAAATGGAAAGAATTACCATGCACTTGCCTTTAGGACAGATTTCTTTTGTCACTTCAAAATTTTAGATTTTATATTTCACTCTTAATCCTAGAGGAATTTGGGTAAAAATTGTTTAATTAGTCAAAGAGTAGAGAGGATACAAATTATAGGCCATCACAATAATGATTGTTGTCAGTCTTCTATATTGAGATAAAATAATTTAGAATATTGTTTTGGAAGAAAGGAGGAATTGTTTTATTAAGATTTTAACCCAAAAAGTTGGTATTTAAATCAGTTATATTGAAATGGATATTGATTGATTGATATTTTGTTCACAGACAAGCCCTGTGATGCCTCGCATCCCTTCACCTCAAGAACTTGCAGTTCACACACAGTCTATCTTGCAAAATGCCTTAATTAAGTACAGCTTGGTAGAACAAGAAGAAAAATACAAAAAGCTACAAGAATCACAAAGGTTAGATGGATATATTTAGGATGATCAAAAGGATAAATAGGATATTTTTAACTTATAATGTGCTTTTTTACTTTGCCTTTTTTATTTATGAACAAACACTAAATGTATGGTGAATTTATCAAGTTGACTCTTAGCTGGTTTTATTAATTTTTATTATAGTGGAATAAAAAATTCAATAGTAAATATGAAAAAAACTAAATAAAAAAAAAGAATAACCTCCCCTACTTATATTGAACCTGAAAATGTGATACTGAGTTTGGGAATAAGAATAAAAATTAAATTTACTCATAATTTGCATAACTGTAAATATTTATATTAAAATTCTGCTAATTCATGTTATATTCTGTATGTACAATGCATGTTACTTCTGAGCTGTACTTTTGCATTAGTGCAACTTTTTTTATTAGTATTTCATGTTATTTTCCATGCTCGTTTCTCATTTTTATCAGTTATGTGATAATGAGTTCTTAAATGTAAATACATTTGAATAATCAAACATTAGAAACAGTTGATGTAGCATCCTGCTCTTTAAATTTTTATTTGGCTCGTAGTAACTTTCTCAGCACAGGGGTCGGGCAATTTGATCGAGTCACATGACCTTTTGTACTCGTTTAAAGTCTTTATTAAGTTTAATACTTATAACTCAATATACTGGGTATATCTTCACAAAATTTGGCAATCTTTCACATACAAAAAGTCTTATTTCTTAGTGAAGTATTTTTAATAACATAAAATAAAGATTTGTCCATGAATATATTGAGTATTTGTTTTAAATAGTCCGCGTGAAAAGTAATTTTTATGTTAAAATTAAAAATACTTTTCATCATCTCAAAAATCTCAAATTTCCTTTGAGTAATCCCTAAAACCTCCTAAATGCATTTCAAACGTTTTTTTTTTTCAGTAAAACTCTATAGTTTATCTGTTATTTTCTCTACCCTATCACAAAATGGGATCGGTCAATTCCAAGAAGAAAAAAAATTTAAATCAACCTCAATTAACCTTTTTTTTCTTTCTAGAATGACATCTATTTATAATTAAATTTTATTGTTTTATTGCCCTTTGAACAGTGTCTAACTACT